CATCCATCATCCATCCATCTATCTACCTATCCAGCATCATCCAGCATCCATACATCTTCATCCATCATCCATCCATCCATCCAATCATTGATTCTTCCATCCATCCATCCATCCATCATCCGTCATCCATCATCCATCCATCCATCCATCATCCATCCATCCATCACCTGTCATCCATCAATCCATCTGTCCATCCATCATCCATCATCCATCATCCAACCATCGTTCCATCATCCATCCATCCGTCTATTCATCATCCGTCATTCATCATCCATCTATCATCCATCCATTCATCACCCATCCATCATCCATCCATCATCCATCCATCCATCCATCCATCATCCATCCATCTATCATCCATCCATCATCCATCCATCATCCATCCATCCATCATCCATCAATCATCCATCATCCATCCATCATCCTTCCATCCATCTACCTATCATCATCCATCCATCCATCATCCATCCATCCATCCATCCATCATTCATCTATCCATCCATCCATCCATCTATCCATCATCCATCCATCATCCATCCATCAATCATCCATCATCCATCTACTTATCCATCATCCATCCATCCATCCATCATCCATCCATCCATCCATCCATCATCCATCCATCCATCTACCTATCCATCATCCATCCATCCATCATCCATCCATCATTCATTCATCTATCATCCATCCATCCATCTACCTATCCATTTTCATCCATCATCCATCCATCCATCCATTCATTGATTCATCCATCCATCCATCCATTTATTCAGCCATCCATCCATCATCCATCCATCAATCATCCATCCATCATCCATCCATCCATCTGTTGTTCATCCATCTGTCAATCATCCATCCTTCATCCATCCATCCATCATTCATCCATCCATCAATCCATCACCCATCCATCCATCCATCCATCCAACCATCATCCATCCATCTGTTGTCCATCCATCCATCAATCATCCATCCATCATCCATCCATCCATCTGTTGTTCATCCATCT